CCACTCACGATTCTGCCAGTGTCTCGCGGAGTGACGCTGGTCAAGTCTCCCCTCTTGAGCGCGCTAGGATCATCTGCTTGGATGTGTCCGGCCGCTTCCTGGCGCCTGACCGACTGGCCAGCAGCAGCCTGCTGCAAGATCAAACGCGCAGCTTCCTCGCCCTCCAGATTGGCAAATTGGGGCAAAGCGGATCTGCGAGCGCTCAGTTCTTTGCGCACCTCGTTCAGCCAGCGCAAAACGAGGGGAAAGGGAGAGTTGGGCAGTTGGCCATTGTCTTTGGACGGGCGGGGCAGCAGATCGGGCACGGCTTTCAGGCTCAGCTCTGGCAAAGCAGATAGATGTTGCGAATTGCGGGGGGGGGCATGCAGCAAATTCAGCGGTTGGGGAACTGCAGAGCGAGAAGCAGAAGCAGAAGCAGAAGCAGCGTGGTCCGTGCGACGTTGCCGAGCAAGGCTGACTGACTGACTCACGTAACCAAGTCAGGGTGAATGCGCAACCAATGTCCACATAGCTCATCTCCGGCGTTGCCAGCAGCCACTCTGCGCGACTCTCTCTCAGCGTCTTTTCCAGCGAATGGAGATGCGTGATGAGTTGCGCCTTGTTCAGCTCCGGTCTGGCCCTGGCCCTTTCGCCCAATCTGAGAGCGGGCGAGAAGCTTTTCCTGTCGTCGATGAATTCCTTGGACCAGGCTGCAGGAGGTATGAGGCCCGCGATGATTGCAAACATTTCCCTGTCCGTCCAATTAGCTGTGTGTTGTGTGTGTGAGCAGGCAAGGAATGAGCCACGCGCGCGTTCAGAATGGCAGTGCCGCCGCGTCGCGTCGCGTCGCGTCATCTCCCGCTCACCAACGAGCCTCTTTTGCAATTCAGCATCTGGACCGAACAAACTGTTTCCGTGTCCTTGCTTGCCCGCAAACGTCTTTTCCAGCACCTCGACTTGCAGACTAGTGTCGAGATAAAGCTGACCGTCGAGAGCTAGGACGGGAATGCGTCGATAGGTGATGCCCAACTCTTGGGAGAGCATGGGACGAGGTGGGATCATGGAGACTTGAACGACGGCGTGCCCTACCCTGTACCATGCCAGCAGATCTTGCAACTTTTTGAAAAACGGAGAGCCGGCATAGCCGTACACGATTGCGCGCGGAGATGCTGGCGGCGCGGCGGCATCAGACATGATTTGGCGCGTTGCGTGTGTGCAGTACGTGTGCGGGTGGGTGAGTATGGCGGGGGGTGAGCAGGATGGATGACACGGCTGTGAGGGTGAGGGTGAGGGTGAGGGTGAGCGTGGGGCTGAGGGTGGAGGGAGGGTGAGCAAAAGTAGGAGACGCTGTGCATGCACGTCACGTGATCTGGATTGCATGGCGTGATCTCCATGCATCCACTCAACGCGTGCGGGGCGCAGCTATAGGACCCACGCCGCGCGCGCGTGCATGCATCCATGCATCCATGCATGTCCACGGGTTCCGTGCGGCGGCGGCGGCGGCGGATGGCGCAAACGAGGGGGCTTGCCCGCGCACGGGTGCTGCCTGCTGCTGCTGCTGCTGATGATGGTGCGCCGAGCAAGCTGGTATCCATGCAGCAGCATCCATGCATCAAGATAAGATCCAACAGCCAGCCGCACTTCCATCGCTGGTCGCTTCAGCGAGAGGCGCTCACCTACACACACACCATCATCCTCGCTCGCATCCGCATCCACTTTCTTGCCCGCATTCCTGCTCTGCCTCCCATTGGCTGCCTTCACGTGTTAGGCAAGAGGAGGCAAGCCCTCCACTTTGAGCAAGCGTGCGCACCCCCCATTCCACATCGTGCCTCGCCACACCGCTGGACCCAAATGGCGGCCATCACTCACGCAGCAGTCTCTGCGTCGGCGGGAAGCGGTGGTGGTGGTGGCGGGAGTGGCAGCGCGAGCTCTTCCGATCATCGAGTAGGCCCTTATGAAATTCTCAAGGAGATCGGAAAAGGTTCGTTTGCAGTGGTGCACAAGGGTTTGGTCAGACCGCCGGATGCACCACGCGCAAGGGATCTGGCCATCAAGATTGTCAGCAGACGCAAGTTGACCACCAAGCTGCTGGAGAATTTGGAAGGGGAGATCAGCATCATGAGGAACATTAGACATCGACACGTCGTTGAGCTGCTCGACTGTCTCAGCACCGACGACAGGATATACCTCGTCATGCCCTTTTGCTCGGGCGGCGATCTCAGCTTTTACATTCGCAACGCTCCAAAGGCGGCGGCGGCGGCGGCGGCGGCTGAGCAGCAAGCGCTAGCATGCGCAGCCACCGCAGAGACAGGGAAGAGTAGGAGGAGCACTTCGATCGACAGGAGCGCTGTGACCGCCGAGATGGAGTACATGCACCACGAGGATGGAGGACTGAATCACGTCGTGATCAGAAGCTTCTTGGAACAGTTGGCAGGCGCACTCGAATTCATGCGTGATCGCAACATTGTGCACAGAGACATTAAACCTCAAGTGAGTGGTCGCAGTGGGTGGATGTGTGCGATGACCAAGGTGGCTGGCGCGTGGCATACTCGGGGCCAGCTCCCTTGTTTGACGGAGCTGCCCCCTCGGCCTGAGGCGCACACATCCAGTCAGTGCTGACCAGTAGACTCGCTCGTCGTACTCCGGCTGCAGAATCTGCTCTTGCAGCCCGCCGACGAAGAATTTTTGGCCGCTGGTCACAAGCCTGGCATCCCACAGCTCAAAGTCGCAGACTTTGGTTTTGCCCGCAATCTCCCCACAGCCACCCTTGCCGAGACGCTATGTGGAAGCCCGTGAGTAGACGTCGTTGGGAGGAAGATGATGCGATGCGCCGAGCTCACACCAACTCGATGCACAGGCTTTACATGGCGCCTGAGATTCTCCGCTATGAAAAGTACGATGCCAAGGCGGACTTGTGGTCGGTAGGAGCGGTGCTGTACGAAATGTGCGTGGGCAAGCCGCCTTTCAGAGCGCAGAATCCGGTGGAGCTGCTGCGCAAGATTGAACGAGGCGAAGATCGCATACGCTTTCCCGATGAGCGCTCGGATGGCTCCTTGGCGCGCGAGAGGGAGAGAAGGGAAGAGCTCGGCGAGACGAATGTGGATGTGAAGCGCGCTCATTCCATCCCGGCGGACATCAAGGCGCTGGTGAGGTGCCTCTTGAGGCAAAAGCCGATGGAGCGAGTATCTTTCGACGGCTTGTTCAGATGCGATGTGATCGAAGGCGTCAGAGAAGAGATGCGCCAAGTCGTGGCTGCTGCTGCTGCCGCCACGGCAAAGAGCAAGGCTTTGGCAGATCAAGCCACGACCTCCGCAGAAGCTACTTCTCAGCCCTCCAGCGCCAAGCTTATACTTGCAGTTCCAGAGCAGATGGCGCCGTCGCTTCCGAAAGCAGCACACAAACCGTCATCGTCCTCAAAGGTGACTGTTTCGCCTCCCACCCCCATCAAGCGAGGCTTTGCCAGCAAGTATATTCTGGGTGGCAATCACGCACACCGTACGAATGCGGTGGAGACAAAAGCCAGAATGGCGCAGCCGAGCATCGCAGCGCCGACGCCTTCAGGTATGGAAGATAATGCAAGCGACACGCCCGGCTCGAGCGTCAGCAACTTTCCCATCCTCGCAGCTACAGCCAAGGCATCCAGCTCAGACTCTCCGGGAACAGGTGCTTCGACTCCGCTGGATCTTGCTGGTTCGGCAACTCAGCCCTCGCCTGGTGACAGCGGACTGCTGGGCAAGGATGCGTACGTGATCGTGGAGAAGCGCAACATCGAGACCAATCCGGATGGGAGCGTCGGCGCAGGACTACTCGGCGTGGGCCGAAGACCCTCCAGGTTGGGTAGACTTAGCAGCGGCATAGCAGCTCAACTCCTTCCTTCCGCAGCTGCAGTCACAGCAACAGCTACAGCTACGCCATTCTCCGCAGCCAAGACTATTGATGAATCTGGACAGCGCGCTCGAATTTCCCCTTCAAACAGATCATCGCCCACCGCAGTAGAGGGCGCAACGCCCAGCTCGCCAGCTGGCGGAGCTTTTGCCCTTCCCTCGGGCACTGTGCGGCGTCCTAGCTTGAGCCATCGCCAGAGCACCTCCAGCGCTACCAGTCCCAGCCCTCGCTTACTGCCTGTCGCTTCAACAACGCCTGCTCCTGACCCCGCAGCGCCACAGACCGCGCCGGCTGCGATCTCGACGACAACAGCTGCGAACCCGCAGTCTGCTTTGGCGCGCGCGATCAGCATGGCAAGCGTGAGGCTGTTTGGCATTCCTACTGGCATGAACATGCGAGGAGCAGCTGCCTTGGCCAGGAATCGGAGCACAAGACGAGCAGCGCTCATGAGATCGGGCGAGCATTCGGACGGTGCGGAAGCGGGCTTGCTAGCGATGCTCGAAGATCTTTCGCAAAAGTCGTTTGTGCTCAGCGAATTTGCGGATTCCAGGCTGGCACTTCACTTTCCGACGGGACCTCATCAGGCCGGCTTGAATGGAGAAGCTTCGAAGGACTGTGCACTCGGCTCCTCGAGCGTCTCCACGGCTGTCAACAAGTCCACTCAGCCATGGATGGGATTGAGAAGGAGCAGCTCTGCCAAGGCCTCTCCTGGCGCTCCTGCCGCAAGCTACTCTCCAACTTCTCCTCCATCTCAGACTATTGCACTACCTTCATCGGCAGGAGAGACGGTTGCTGCGGAGGCACTGCTTCTGTATGTGCGTAGCTTGAGCTTTTTGCAACGAGGTCTGGATGCCGTCAAAATTTTTTGGGAAGCTCGTTCGCGTCCTGGCTACCCCGCCGCAGCAAGTTCGGACGTCAATGAGGGTGAGTATGCATGTGCGCCGCCCAATGCTTCAGCAACTGCACCATCGCTCATTCGAAAGGGTCGGTGTGGGTTTTGTTTTTTTTGTTTTTGCGCAGCTGTACAATTTTTACGCGCACGCTTCAACGACGGCTACGAGAGAGCCGACTTTGCGAGGGCGAGGTGCAGCGCGGAAATACCGGACTCGGCGCGAAATGTGGACAGGCTGATCTTTGACAAGGCGCTGGATATCGCCAGATGCGCTGCGCTAGACGAGTTGGAAAACAATCATGGACGCGCAGGCTCCGCTTTCGAGCTTCAGAGGTGCATGCTGGCCTACGAGACCGCCAGCGGATTGTTGTGCGGCTTGCTGGACTGTCCCAACAACGAAAAGGAGGAGGAGGAGGAGTCGGCAGTGGCGGCTGTTGTGCTTGGAAGCAATGCTGAGCTGGGAGATGCTGCTATCGCTACGATTGAAAAGTGTGAGTTCAGTCAGGCCTTGAGCGGAATATGGGGCAGCGGGACGCGATGCGATGCTGATGCTGATGCTGATGCGTTAAAACTTCTCTGCTGCTGTAGTTTTGGCTTCTATCAACAAGCGATTGGCAGCCCTGCAGCGCTCTGCTGCTGCTGTCGAGATGCCCGCCGCATCGCAGGAGTGAGGTGTTCCCACGGCCAGCTCGTTTCACGCCCACTTTGAGATGTTCTTGACCGTGCCCATCTCCCTCCCTCTCTTTTTCTCCCCCCTCATCCTCAATGTATCTCGCACGCATCTGTTGATCCCTGATACATCCATCTGCAAATTCGCAATCTTTGTAAGAGTAACACTTTGACTTTCTTCCTTGGCTCTTTTTTTCCCGTGCCATGTCATCCCCTTCCTTTGCCTCACGCGCGCGCGCGCGCGCGCGCGCGTTGCGCCTTTGGATCGCGACGGACGGACCCTGCTGGACGCCTCGCGAGGTTTTGAGCGGTGGGGGACCGGGTTCGGGGTTTGTGCGGGGAAGGGGGAACTCGTGACTACAGTAGCTTCGCTTGCTGACATGCGCTCGGCACGGCACGGCGCGGCGCGGCGCGATGCGATGCGAGTTCTGCGATCCCCATGGCACACCTTGGCAACTCCATTCCTACAGTATTCGAATTTTCCTTGCCGATAACGAGCGCAGCAAATTCCCAGGTGCGGGTGCGTGAGCGCAATCGTGAATAGCAAGCAGCACAGGATGAGAAAAGAGTTAGAGTTGGGGCGACGGGGACGTGTGTTTGTGCTTTGCGTGAGTGCGTGAGTGCAAGCGATCGAGGTTGGCGAGCTGGCTTGCCGCTTCATTGCTGCTTGCTGCATGCTCAGCAGCCGTGCAAGCAGCTGCAGAGCCCAATGCAAACGCGTCCCACCACTCCAGCCTGCATCAGACGCACTGCTGCTGTGACTCTTGACGAGCTCACCCCACATTCCGTGATTCAGCATGCATGCAGGCAGAGCCAAGTCCGGCTCGCCAAATACCCGCCCCGCGGTTCGCTTACTTGCAGTCGCAGTCGCAGTCGCAGTTGCGCCGCCTGCTGCTTGCTTGCTTGCTTTCACGACTCAGTGACTACAGTGTACCGTACTTACTACTCGCGACACGACTACCGTGTGTGGAGCTGCAGCTCAGCAGAGCATCTCAATAGCTACAGTCGTGAGTAGCGTGATTGTGTGCGTGCAGTGCAGTGCAGTGCAGCAGCTTGATTTAGATGAGAGAAGCCAATGAATGATGGAAGCGTGAATGTGAATGCTGCGAGTCACAATGATGCATGCGGCCCACGCTCACAGAGCGAAGCGGCAATCAGAATTATCAGCTTTCATCACAATGTCAGCCCCTTTGCCCCCGCGGGCGGTAGCATCCCCAGAGGGTCCTCCCTCTCCTCTCTCAACACCATCCCTTTTTGACGCGGTCGGCCAAGCAAATCGTTGCAGACATTCACATTTTCCAACTCGTGCCTTCTGCCCCCTCCCCTGCTGCGCCTTGGCTCAAGTGTACGCAAAACCCATCATCACGAATCGAATCGCTGGCTTTGCTCGTGCTGCATGGAATGCAAAAAGTTGGGCCTGATTGATCGCCGATATCCCGACGCACCACAGGGCAAGAATAAACATCGCAATCGCACGCGCACTCGCAATCGCACTCGCAATCGCAATCGACATGGCTCCATCCAAGCAGCAAGAAGAAGCGTCGAGCGGCAATCTGCTCACCATGTTGCTCTCCCAAGCAGCCGAAATCGACTTTAGCGATCCCAATGCTACCGAGGCGGAAAGCAGCAGCAGTAGTGACAAATCCAACGACCCTACTCGACTACTGGTGCAAGGTTGGGAGATCAGCAAACTGTTTGCAATCATCGAGTTTGCCTTTTTGCATGCGCACGACGAGCAAGGCATCATGGCTGGGCTGGACATGATGAGTAGAAAGGAGGCCATCAAATCCATCGTGAGTTTCTCATGCAGTCGGTTGCTTTTCACACGCTTTGCAGGTGGAGCGGCAGAGGATCTGCGCGCATACCTTGTCGACCATCGATCCAGGCTGGCTCACACTGCGAGAAACACTCTCACTCGGGCCCTTCATTGGTCTTTCTTGCATGTAGAATGGCGTATTCCTGTTTGTGGTGAGTGCATGGAGAGCGAGCGAGCGTGCCAGTCGGGCGGAGCCTTGCAGATATCACATGCTGCATGGCGCTTGCAATTTGTGTGTACCCTACCGGTACAGCCAGCCGATGGTGGATGGGCGCTTATGCCCACGCGCACGCGCACGCGCACGTCTCGACAGGTCAAGAATGCAAATGGCAAAGAGCAAGATTTCTTCGTGGACATGTGAGTGGGGGGGAGCGCAGAGCAGAGCCTGCTTGCTTATTTCATGGGCCCTCGATTGCTGTTGCATGCATGGGGCCCAGCGCTTCGGCATCATGCACGCATGCATGCACCGCCGAGTCTGACAAAGAACGCTCGCATCGCATCCCATCTTTGCCACAATCTGATACATCGCTTGGTGATCGATTGGGGAAAATCCAGGAGAAAGACGGGAACTTTTAATCTCGAGGCGCCAAAGAAGCCAAAGCCGGATGTGACCATTCGAGTGGGAGACAAGGTAAGTCGTGGCGGCAGAAGAAGAATCGTGAAAACGACGGCAGGGCAGGGGGCCCCGCAACGTAGGGGCCCGTCTTGTTGCAAGTCACAACAGTCGCGATGTTGCCATCCGGCCGAAAGACTGGCTTTGACTTTACCCTTGGCTCTTCTGCATCTGCGCCCCCTTCGTCAGGATATGGTGCGTCTCGCCACAGGTCAAATGAATCCTCAAGCTGCGTTCCTCAAGGGCAAATTGAAGGTCAAGGGAAACGTCATGCTGGGTCTCAGGTGCCAGAACCTCTTGATGAAAGAAGTCGGCAAGATGAGCAGACTGTAAAAGCAGCCAAAGCTTCAAAGCCGGCATAAACATTTCTTTGTTTCTTTTGCGAAACAAAAGAAAGAAAAAAAGAACAAATCAAAAAGAAAAAAATTCGCAATGCCCATCGCCAGCCTTGCCTTCTTTTCCTCGCCCGGCTCAAGGAAGAGATGTGCAATGGTAGCCGATACACTTCTACTTGGCACCTTTGTCAGCCTCACCAACGGGAGTGAGCGTGATTGGGATCTCGATGGTTTGCGGGTTGGTAGGACCGGTTGGGAATACATAGGCTTGAGGGTCTTCCGTTATCTTTTGATCGCCCCATTTGTATGCCTGAGGCTTGGTGATGAAATCCATCTTTGCATCGTTTTTGGCCACATGATGGGTCAGCCCGTGAGCCAGCATGTAGGTTCCTCCAATCGTTCCACCAGCGACCAGGCCGGTCCTGTCATCCGAACGTCCCCAGAGGGCCAATCGTCAGTCAAGCGGCATGGGAACAGTCTGATATCTGATCATGTTGGCAAGCGATGCACTCACGCGAGGACTTTGGTCGCAGGTCCCGCCTTCTTCTTGGTGAAGATCTTTCCCAGCGACTTCAGCAGACCAGCACCAGCTCTACGTTCGAGCTCAGCAGACGATACCGATCGTTCGTGCAGGTGCGAGCCATGCTCGCTCTCCACATTTTGCTCTTCCGCCTGATCATCTCGCGTCAAGAGGCTGGCAGATGCTTCGTCTCGAGGCAGACTGCGTCGATGGTGTTTGGGGTCGTTGTTGGGGGCGGGAGCGGGAGCGGTAGTAGGAGCAGGTGCGTCAGGGGCGTAAATCTCTGGTCCGATGCCCATGATGGGGGCAACCTTCCCCGCGGGAACTGTAGCATCTTTGGGAGCGGGAGCTGGCCCAGTCGGGGCGTAGACCTGTGGGCCGATACCCATAGGATTCTTGTAGGCATCTAATGGAGCCGTGGAACCATCGGCATAGGTGATCGTCCCTGGCGTTCCAGGCCTGACACCTCCTCCCACACCGTGATTTCCCCATGAGCCGTCATCAGCCCGTCCGTCAGACTGAGCCTTGTGACCATCGTGATGATTCGCCAACCTCACTACGCCGTAAACGCCGGCGCCGGTGATGCCCAGACCGGCAACGGCGCCGCTGATAACGTTCAACAAAAAGGTGAGCTCTCAAGTGTCACCTCAGTCTCATCTCTCGACTGACCGAACGTCTTGTGCTGATCATTTCTAGAGCCAGAGGACCGCGTCGCCGAAAGCTGCACTCACACTGAGGTAGTGACCGGATGTTTGCGAACGTACGTCTTTGTGAAGCTGCGAACCCTCCTCAATTTGGTAGGCTTGACCCCGCCTGGACTTCCAAGGTGAATGATTTTCTCCGCCTTCTTTCCCACCGAGGTAAGTTCCACCTGGCGAGGTAGGAGATCCTCGGCCTTTCTGCGCTCAAAAAGCGCCTCCGGCGGGGCGGAGAGACGACCGGCTGTCTTTACACCGTAGCGGCGAAAGACGCTTTGCACGCCATCGGTGAAAGCGGTGGAGGCAGGCTGAGGCAGACCTCGAGCAGCTATCTCAACCGCCTGCGACTCGGACGCAGCAAGGTTTTCGATCGACCTTCGTGCTGGATTTTGGGCGACTTCCTTCATGTACGCATCAATATCATCCTGATACGGGCGCTTGAGCTTCTTGAGCTCCTGGTCGTGCATGTGCTGATATTGCGCAACGCCCGCAATCGTGGCGGCCCCCGTGCCCAGTCCAGTGAGAACGCTGTGATGGATGGGGGGATGGCAACATGAGAAAGAAAAAAAGCGCTTCAGCAACTGCTCGGCACGATGCACACTTCGTGCCTGACCAACTCACGCTGCTGTTCTGTAAGGGTGCTTGCGCATGGATCCCCACGTCTTTTTTACGAGGCCCGGCTTTTTGACCTGGAAAGCGGAAGAAGAGGGGTCAACATGTGAGACACCAAGCTGCATTCGATGACCACTAACGGTGTTTGCAGCAATGTCCGGCAGTACTTTATGTTCAGCAATGCTTGATAGAGCTTTTCCCTCGAGCGGAAGGGCTAGACGAGCATTCAGAATGGCCCCCTGGGTCGCCTCCGACGTGATGGAAGCTGGCAGTGCGCTAGACTGAGAGGCTACAGCAGCCAGTACAAAGGCAAGAAGCGTGACGAAATTCGTTCCTTTCATGTTTAAAAAAGTTCTCGTGATCGCCTTGATTGAAGTGTATGCCAAACGATCGCTGACGTGAAACAGTGACGAAGGTCAACCGCGTGTGAAGATTTTTGGTAAGATGACGACCAGCGTCCAGTCTGAGTGTTGATTGCAGTGAAAAGTTTGTGTCAGAGACTCAGTCTCTTGAGTTGAGTCAAGGCGGGTGAAAAGCGTGGATAATGATGGGCGGCCTCAGGAGAGGTTCGCCACTCCTTTATAGCGCAAGATGAGCGTACGCAGTAGCACCCAAACACGGGCTATCTTTGGGCTGCAAAGGTCTTGGTGGCCACATAAAGCTACAATTGCGCCCAGCGTTCGACGTTTCTGACATGTCCCGCGCTTTATTGCCCGACGACAAACGACGACGTCTCTGTGCCTGCTGCATTCACGCAGACCATCAGACCATTGGCGTCTCTAGTGCGCCGTAGGCGCAGCGTCGTTGCCGAAATGTCAACAGCGTGTACGTCTTTTCCCGACACGGCGTTCCATCCAATCAGGGCAAATGGAGTTCGCCAGACTCTTGCCACCTTGATCTTCGCGTAGACCTTGGCAGCGCCGTCGGGAGCGCGGTCGGGAGCGGAATTTGGACCAAAAGACGACATTTGATCGGAATTTGCGGGCGGCAATGAAGAGTACCAGCATCGAGGACGATGTGACTGCCTTTTGAATGGAAGAATGCGAGCAAAGTGGCAAGCTTTCTGTCACGATGTGGCGAGCTCAGACCGTTTGCAAAAGATAGATCAGTGGCGCAAGATACATTTCTCGCCGCAGGTGATTCGCCACAAGCAGACAGGCGTGGGCGCTGGCTGCATCTACGAGAGGCGTTGGGCACGAGAGGGACGGTGCAGCAAAGCCAGGGGGTCACACGACCATGGCATCAATGCGAATGCATCCTTGATTGGCGATGCTCCTATGCTAGCCACTTCTGCACCGCGAGCCATTTCAGCGTGGGAGCCTATCGCCAATTCGACGATCGATCAGGACCAAGGGAGCTAGCTGCTGCTTGGGGGCCAATGTCTTGCTCGACGCGGCCAATGATTTCGACGTTGTTATTGGGCTCCACGCAGCTTCATCCAGCCGCGAGAGGTAGGCTTGGAGCGCGGCTTGAATGGCAAAAGGTGTTCGGAGAAGTATAAAGTGGCTGTGATCGGGAAGCATGCAAGGATGGCGTGCTTGGACGACTCGTCTCATCACGACTCGCAAACTTGCACGCACGCGTGGCCGACTCTTGCTTGCTTCGTGCTGGGCCTCGCTCATCCCTCGCTGCAATCAAGTCTGGCAACCGCGGTCTCGCATGCATGCATCAGCATATCTCCGCAGCATATACTGTACGGTATCTGCATGCTTCCGCATTAGACCGCGGTCTCAGACCCACGGCTAACCCGCGGCCATGCAGCATGGCCCACCGCCGCGCGCACGAGCCTTTGCAAGGAGGGGCTGGCTCTCTATAGCTGATGTCCATGCAGACGTTTGACTCACTCGAGCCACGACGTTTTTCCGTCTTTGCACTAGCGTCGATCCTGCATTTGGTGGCTTATCCGCCAGCATTCAACGAAGCCTGGCCGCCTGGCTGGCTGGCCGCACGCAGCAGCAGCTTGATCTTTCCTTGACCGAACATAAGCCACACCTGATGGCGACATCGATTCGGGATGCTCACGCAAAAGGGCACTCGACACTGGACCCTGTTCGGCAAGGTTGTGGCTTTTTGTGAAAGTGGCAACCGTGAACGTAGCGCAAAGGCCGTTGCTGGTGTGTATAAAGAGAGGCAAGTAAACTTATCGGCAATGGGCAAAGGATGAAAAGACCTCACAAACCCCTGCTCCCACAGCCTGCACCCATCTACCCGTCACCTCCATCTCATACCCCTCTTGCTTGTCCAGCCATCGTAGGGCTAGTCCAAACGCCATGTCGGAATACCTCGCTTCCGTTCCTCACAAGGGCGCATACGGCGATGTCGAAGATGACCGCAAGTCCGCCATTCTCGACATCAAGGAGGGCGAGGTCGAAGCCGAAGTGTCCGTCACTGAGGTCGACCAGGCTTTCGCTTCGCTAGTAGCAGCAGAAGAGAGCCACGATATCAAGCATCGCACCATGGGCTGGAAGAAGACGACATTGCTCTTGTTCGGTGACCAGGTCTGTCTGGCCATCATGGCCCAAGCGTGGTCGTTCAAGGTGATGGGATGGGTGCCGGGTCTCATCACCACCATCCTTGCCGGCATCTTCTTCTACATCACCTCTTTGACCATGTGGCGCTTCATCATGAGGCATCCAGGCGTGCGAGACGTGTGCGACATTGGTTACCTGCTCTTCAACAAATCAAAGATCGCTTACGAAGTCACGGGTATCATGCTCCTCCTCAACAACATTCTCCTCATTGGCTTCCACATTCTCACTTTTGGCAAGATTCTCAACACCCTGTCCGACCATGGCACGTGCACCGTCGTCTTCACCGCTATCGGTGCCATCACTGGTATTCTGATGAGCTTGCCACGCACACTCAACCATCTCACCGGCATGTCGGTCGTCAGTGCCGTCTGCATGGGAATCGCCATCATCCTCTTCCTGGTCTTTGCTGGTATCGAGGCGAACCCTCTGTACGGCTACGGAGGTACCTGGCCAGCTGCTGGAGACGTTGTGCGCACCACCGCCTTCCCACCCCCTGGCACCACTTGGGTCGAGTGCCTGCAAGCCGCTCTCAACATCGTCTTCCTCTGGGTTCCTCAAATCCTCTTCCCCACCTTCATCTCTGAAATGAAGAGGCCTCAAGATTTCCCAAAGGCTCTCACCGCACTGGCCATTCTCAGCTTCGTCCTCTTCATCGTCCCCACTGTTCTTGGCTACCACTGGCTCGGACAGTATGCAACCGCTCCGGCATTCGGCAGTCTCGAGAGAGTCTACGTAAAGGCATCCTTTGCATTCGTCATTGTTCCAACCCAAGTCATCTCGGTCATCTACAGCAATGTCGCCTGCAAGTACATCTACCAACGCATCATGCGCAACTCCAAGCACGCTCACAGCCACTCCAAGATCGGATGGGGCGTGTGGGCAGCAGTCACCACAGTGGTTTGGGGCATCGCCTTCATCTTTGGCTCCGTCATTCCATCCATGGGAGACATGTTGGGTCTTCTGGGAGCCGCCTTTGACTCTCAATTCGGCTTCATCTTTTGGGCACTCTGCTGGTACAGCCTGTATCGACGCCAAGGTTTCTTCACCACTTGGACACGCACCGCCGGCACCGTGTTTCACATCATCGTCATGCTCCTCGGCCTCTTCCTCCTCGGACCTGGTCTTTACGCCGCTGTCGAGGCCATCATCGTCGACTACGCTGGGCCCGTCAGACCAGCATTCTCATGCGCAAACCTCAGCCTCTAATATACGGGGTGCCGTACACACAACAGTCACGCTTTCCCCGCTCGTCCTTCATCAGTCATCACAAAAGTTCCAATTCCGCGTCACGCCTGTTTTCGCGCAATGCTAGCTGCAAGATGTATACTTGCATGACCCCAAAATGTACCCCTACTACTCGAATCGAGTGACCTTTTACGATCAGCAAGCTTGAGGTTGTCCTGCTCTGCTGCAGTGCCTGTGGAGAAGAAAAAATGGACCTGTAGCCACTGGGTACACGACGACTAAATTGACCCGTTCTCTTGCCAGTTTCGGCTCTGCCATTCTTGTCATGATTGCACCTAGCAAACAGGTCGATCGCGGTATTGCAACGGAGCATTTGATTCTGTATGAAGCTGCTGGACGGACACATATCTGTTGGACAGTGTGTGGAGCGATTTGAAGCGCAGACGCAGTGTACAAGAAGCAGCAGCGAGACCAATGGTAAGGCAGAGAGTTGAAGGGCGCAGCTCGTGCCTTGTACGTCTCTTGCGCCAACTGTCAAGCGAAGCGAAGTGAGGTCGTCACGGTCTGGCGTCGCGCGAGAGGTGGAATGCGCTATCCTCTAGACTTCGGAATCAACTCCAGCCTGTAGACGCCAGAAGCTGGGCGCATGGTCAAAGTCTCGACGATGTTGTGCATGTCATCGTGCGTGCTACGTACGTCGTGGTCGAGAAAGAGAGCAGCGATCAGGTATCGAAGTTCGTGCCAAGCCATGTGCACACCAACGCACTGTCTCGGACCGCTGGAAAAAGTGAGCAAGCTGGCTTCCATTTCTCGTGTCGCGTTCTTCCAACGCAGCGGATCAAAGATTTCTGGCTTGTCGTAGATCTCTGGGTCCATGTTGGATACGCCTGCTGCGACGAAGACGAGCGTACCTGGTGGCAGCCAGCGACCATCGCTCAATTGCAAGCCAGCTTCTGGCACGACCCTTGGAAATGGACCAGGCCCTGCTGGTATGAAGCGCGTACTCTCCTTGATGCAAAGGTTCAAAAAGGAACAAGTGTCCAGGCTCTCCAAGCTAAGCAGGCCGTCGGGAAAGGTGGTCTCGAGTTCCTGTTTGAGAGCATCGAGAATGACGGGCTGCGTCAGAGGAGCAGCGAGTGTAAAAGCGGCGGTGAGTCAAGTGCATTCGAGTGCAGCAGTATTAAAGCGACTTACATGTTCCAACAGCAGATGTACGGTGGAGGAAGCTGTGCTCGCTATGGTGTCGGTGCCAGCGACGAGCTGTGATCCAATCTCGTTCAGAATCATATCCTCATCGCAGCCTGCTTTATGAAGCTTGGAAACGATGCAGCGCTCCGTGCTGACTTCGGCAATTAATTGGGGTCGTTCGCCATGTCTCTGACTGCGGGACCACAGATTGGATGTTTTGAGCTTCAAGAATTGCCCGTACTTTGGGTGCTCACCGATCCAGGCGGGCAGAGGAAAATTGTTCGTAATGTTCTTCGCCATTTTTGCAAGGCTGTGCACCGCGGGCATCGCATTCGCGAAATTGCAGTCGCTAAGCGCACCTTCTACGAGTCCAGGTGCCGTGACTGCAAGCTCATCTAGCGAAAAGTTTTGAATCACATAGCCGTCTCCGAAGAGATGGGCGGCGACTACGCTCGCTCCTATACCACGAGCATAGTGGATGAAGTCGATAGGTGTACTCCTTTCCTGCTGCGCGAGTTCAGCATCAATAAGCTTGTTGACAGCTTTGTATAGTGCTTCTCGATTCCTTGCAAGAACGCCTTCCAGACGAGCCGTTCCGGAGTCCGTAAGAAAGTAGGACTTGGTGAACAAGGAATTGTAGATGCGTCGCCTAGCAGCGTTTGGCGCATACTTCTCGTACGTCACCAGGCTATCGATTTCTGCATGGGGTATGCGCCCCATCTTTGCGAAAGCTGGAGCTTTGTCGAAGGGCGGAGAGCGCGCTCCACGGCCGTATATTTTGCGGATGCTTTCCACACCAGTGGTGGACACCAAATTTGGGCCGATGATCACTGAATTGCTTTCATATTTGCGGTGCAGATGTAGGATCCAACGGGCAAACGGGCACGATCACCTGCAATTTGATGGTATGCCAAGGCGAAGGGCTTGAAGCGACAATGCAGTGGTCCAGGGATGTGGCGCAGCTTCCAGGCATCCACAATGACTCGGTACAGGCTGATGCACACGACGGTCGCGACTGCAAGCCCGAGAGCGTGGGTTAAAAGAACGTCGACTTGGTACTGGCGGACCATCGTGTCCCTCCTGAAAGTGTGGATGATGTGGGCGCTCGCGTACACGCCGGGGATCGTGGTGCCGGGCGGCTCTGCTCAGTGACGCAGATGGCTGCAATGGCACGTTTGCGGGTTGATTGTTGTTTGGGTCAAGCACCTTTAAGTAAGGTCATACCATTGCCTCTTCGGCGTCGTGCTTTCGCGAGCGACACAGGCTCGTGACTGTGGTGGGTCAGCTTGTCGAGAGGCAAAGTGTGAGAGCCGCCAGAGGGGTTGCGATGATTACAGCTACGTGGCCTGCGATGAGACCACCGCCAGAGTTGGTCACGCTTTGTAAGTGATGTATAAATGCGTACATCACACATGTCAAGTTTGAACTACTACCACCATCGTCCCTGTCAAGCACCTGCGCAACAATTTGCCTCTTGCACTTTGCGGGCAGTCGCACTGGAGATTGTCGCAATCCTCACCGCACAGCGAGTCGTCTCAACAGAGGAGAGGCTGAGGGTGCTCGAGCGCTACGCGCCTAGGCAGCGCTGCGGCCAAAGGACCAAGCGCAATGAACGGCCAGCGAAATTCGTGAGACAAATTGAAGATGCTGACGTGATGTTTGATTGAGACAGTCCCCAGCCCTCTTTGCACCACTTTGACTCCCGATCCTGCGCTCCGCGTCCCGTCTGACACCAATTATGGTCGTGACAGCGAAATGCCTTACGATGTGGCGGTGCTCCATAAGAACGCCATCGAGCCTTGCCGAAATTGTGGCGGTCAGGATCTTACCTATATACGTGACGTGCGTTCATAGCTTACCTGACGCTGGCTGGGTAGCGAGCAGGTGCTGTCGCGCAGATCACGTTCAGGGATGATGAAGATAGTGTTGCAAGTTGCAGAATCGGTACCTGCATGAGGTTGTGCGCGTGCGCGACAGTGCTGAGGGACAGGTGCTTCTAATTCAGGCTTAGGGTTAGGTGGTGATTGTTCACGACTCGCCATCATTGTTGATTGATCTCTTTCAATTCGTGATTGCATCCAGTCGGACCGCCGCATCTGTGACATATGATGGCAGGGACCGATCATGATCGGCGCCTTCTCTGTCTCCGAGACAGCATCGCGCAGATGTTCGTTGCGGAATTAATGGTCGCCACTGACAGCAGTCGATTGGCACACATGAAAGGATTCAGACCGACGATGGCGCAATCGCCAGGACTTTCACAAGATGTCGGCTGTCATGCTTCCACGCTGGATTCTTCGTATCATCTCTCAGCACAACCAAGGCATCATGTCCAGCACATAGCGCATCGACACTGATACCTGTGAGGAGCACAACATAGTATTACCAAAGTAAGTAGCGACTGTAGTATACCGGCTCTTTACTAGCCAATCGCAAGAGCGAGTCTAGCGAGTACTTTAACATTTCATCTCCTCTAAGTCTGTGTAAAGTGATGTTACCTGACTATTCAAGTAGACGCTTGGCGCTCCTCGCGGTGAGAGCCCTGCTGCGATCCGGCCTGTCCAGGCAATCTACGAGGCCCTGCAGGTCGTTCCAAGTACGAACCTCCGACATACCATTAGCAGCCTCGACTACATTGGCTCTTTGAAGACCTGACCAATTTCATTGGGCCAACTGGCATCGGGGGTGGGGTGTCCTTCATCTAGTGTCGGCTAGATGGATCCTTTGAGCTGAAGACCTTAGCGGTTTCATTGGGCCGACAGGCATCAGGGGTGGGGTATCCTTCATCTAGTGTCGGCTAGATGGAATCTTTGAGCTAAAGACCTTAGCGGTTTCATTGAGCCGTCTGGCATCAAGG